GCCTGCCTGCGCCCTCCCCGTCCTGAGACCCACGAGCGCGATCCTCAGTCTGCAGCACCCTTTGGTCGGGGCCACCGGGGGCGTAGACCGACGGGGGGGTCTCTCCAGAGAGAGAGACTGGGCCACGCTGAGACCCCTGCGGAGAGTTTGAGTCCCTACTCTTAGACCAGCAGGTAGACAGGGACCCCAAGCGAACTTGGTAAGCACACGTTGACCCCCGCTCAGCGGGTGGACCTGCAAAGTCCTAGGAAAAGTTTGGGGCTCTGCCGAGAGGCCACTTAATGAAAACGTACATTCTCCTCCCTTTCCCTCTGGTTCAGGGACACCTTCCCACGTCCACTGCCCTCCAGTCCCTAGGGCCTCTGGGGCTCATCCTTCCAAGAAGAGGTGTTGTTTGGGGAGGTTGAACCCTGAGCTTGGTTGCATCTGGGGTGAGGGGGCGGAGCCAGTGTTTGATCTGTTCTTACCTGAAAGGAGAGAGGAGGGGACTTACAGGGGGTGAAGTAGGTCTCTCTCTCTCTCCTCTCTCTCTCTCTCTCCTCTCTCTCCCACTCCTTTTCGGGACAGAGTTTCTTTGTGTAGCTTTGGAGCCTATCCTGGCACTCGCTCTGGAGACCAGGCTGGCCTCGAACTCACAGAGATCCGCCTGCCTCTGCCTCCCGAGTGCTGGGATTAAAGACATGCGCCACCAACGTCCGTCCCTAGGTTGCTCTTGAGATGGGGGATATGAAGGATGAAGGGTAGAGGTCTGAATTCTGATTGTTATTTTGTGTGCCAGACAGTTCCATGCAAACTAGAACTAATCAGGAAGAGGGTACAAGTCCCCTTCTGGGGCCCCAGAAACGCACCCCCCCTCCCTTGTTTCGTGGAGCTGAAACAGTGCTGCTAAGGGGTGTGGCTGTTCCCACCCCTGAGTGTGGACAGTCCATCCTGGCCACCTTCCACAGGAAACCTGACCTGAGGGACTAACAGGAATTCCGGAAGCAGGTGGGTGTGGAGTCAGGAAGGAGGGAGGGGTGGCACTGGATATTTGAAGGGGAGCTGGGGGGGGTGGTACTTGGAGTTGGGAGGTGCTCTGATGGTTATAAACAACTGCAGAACACTCAAAAGCCTGGTGATTTTCTGTTGGTCCTTTTGAGTCCAGCTGCTGCTGAGGTAGGCTACCTCCTAAAACTTCTGTAGCTTTCTAGTTTACTCACTGGTCAATGGTTGGTTTTTCAACTGTAAAACAGTTTAGAAGAAACTGCTTCAATGGGTTATAAGAATGGACTGTATTATGTAAAATTCTAGAATAGTTACTGACACTACATGAACCTAAAAGTTTGCTCTGGCTATCAGCATCCCACACAACCCAACCCTTCACCCAGGATTAATGTACATGAGCCTTGTTCTGTCTGGTTACATTTCTCACCCACAAACCTGAGACCCCCATCAAGAGCAGTTAGTCCCACCCGAAGAAACTGTGATCCCATTTCAACTGTGGCTAAAGAGGTGCACTGGAACCATCTGTTAAAATTGCTGCTATAAGGCTGGGTGTGGTGGTGCATGCCTTAGGTCTCTGGCACTTTGGAGGTCGAGGCAGGAGGATCAGGAGTTCAAGGCCAGCCTTGGCTCTATGAGCCCCTGTCTCATGCTGCTCTAACGGCAGGTGGTATAGCCTGATGGAAGAAAGCTTGCCAGGTTTTCGAGAGGCTGTGGGTTCAATCAGAAAGAATGAGTGAACACAGATTTTCTTGGACCCTTGAGGTATTTAGACTAGATGGGGAAACACTGGGTGACGATTTGGGGGCTTTGAGGACTCGGAGGGGAGAACCGGTACAGGCCAGCGAAGCTGAGGAGGAGTCCTGGTGAGGAGGCCTTCAGCCAGGCTCCAAAAGGACGTAGCTAGAAATGTGCAGCCCAAGTCATGTGTAGTGAGGGGGCAGATATGGGGGATGCACTGAGGAACCTTGGGAAGACTGGGGAGGTGAGGATAGGTCCAGCCTACCCAGAGGCTCATGGGAGAACAAAATGGTTCCTTCCCCTGTTGCCTTCTCTTCTACTCCACCCAACTTTGTAAGACCTGAGAATTTGAACTTCACAAACTCAGGGGCTAAAAGATCTGACTTTGCCACTTATCAGCTGTTTGATATATATATATCACAGCTCTCTGAGCCCCAGCCTGGCCATCTGTAAAATGGGGACAATGCGACCTAAGTCACCTGACTGTTGACAAGACTGAGATGATGCTTACAAAAAGCACTTTGCATTGCCTGGCATGCTGGAAAGGCTTACCAAATGAGGCGTTCTTTTGTGTGTGTGTGTCTCTCTCTCTCTCTCTCTGTGTGTGTGTGTGTGTGTGTATGTGTTTTATTTTTTTCAGGAAGACTGTCACCAATGTCAGTTCAGAATTCTGACTGGTCCCTCCAACAGAACTGTCCTATCTTCAGGGAGCCAGATCCACCCATCAGCTCAGACAGTCATTCAGGCCACCAGCTAGTGGAGTGTTATATGGATACCTCTGGTCAGGTAGGAGTCACACTCTTTCTGAGGCCAGCATGCACTAATCCTCTGGCCCTCATTCCCCTCCTACCAACCATGTTTCTTTGTTAAAAACAAAATCAAACCTTTATTAGCCAGGTGTGGTGGTGCACACCTTTAGTCCCCGCACCCAGGAGGTAGATGCAGGCAGATATCTGGGAGTACAAGGCCAGCCTGGTCTATATATCGAGTATCAAGTTCCAGGCCACCCAGGACTACAGAGAGACACCCTGTTTCAAAGCAAAACAAAACCCCCAAACTGTTAAGTATTATTTAATGTGTGCTGTGTATCACATGTGTGGAGGTCAGAGGACAACCTGTCGGAGTCAGCTCTCTTCTCTACCATGTCGGTCCAGGGGATCAAACTCGGGCTTGGTGTTAAGCGTCTTTACTTGCTGAGCCTGCCCCTCTCCCTGACTTTGAGGCAAGCCCTGAAACTTTCAGTCCTCCTACCTCAAGCTCCTAGTGGGAGGGATTATAGGGATACACACTCCCTTGGTTTTGCCTAGCTCTTTGTAGACCTGTTCTCTTTTCAGGAATTAGGGATTTGACTTGAAATTCATCCTGTAAACATATAGTATCTCTCCTGGGTCTGTCTTAACTGTCAAAGACTTGGCTCCAGGGAGTGAGTGAATGGGGAGCTTCAAACATATGGAATGTTTTTTTTTTGGCTCCTTCCAGGCAGAGCACAGAACAGGAGTGGACGTACCGTTCCTTTTTTCTTTTCTTTTTGGTTGAGACAAGTTTCTCTGTGTAGCCCTGGCTGTCCTGGAACTTACTTTGTAGACCAGGATTGAACTCATAGAAATCCACCTGCCTCTGCCTGCCTGCTGGGATTAGAGGCCTGCATCACCACCACATGGCAGGCCTACTGTTCTTGCTTCGTGATGGACAGGAAGGGTTTCCCTCCAAGTGGAGAGCGATGCTTGGGAGTTGCTATAGATTGAAAGGAAGGTGATAAGGACAAGGGAAGGGAAAGGGAAAACCTAGTCCCCCTCTTTTCCTCCCGTCTCTCCTCAGGCTTCTACAGACTCAAGTTTGGGCCCACCTTGCCTGGATATCAACCAAGCCTCCAACTGGCCTGAGTTCCGGATCCTCCTGCAGCAGCTTCCTCCACAGGACAGTGATGTGGGTCACCCTTCTGATGCCCCCTCTCTCCTCCTTCACTCCCTCTCCACACCTTGTTACTTACTGTGAAGAAAGAGTATTGGTCTAGAATTAAGGAGGTATGATTAAAAGGCCTGGTTCTGCCAGTAGCTGGAGGAAGTTTCCCTTAGCTTGAGTCTCCATACCTAATAACAAGTACAACAGCATGTGTTCTGCGTATCATAGTGCTTATAAGGCTCAAGAGCAAATGGGAAAATGGACATGAACGGCATTTGAAATCAAGAATGGAATGCACAAATGTAGAAATATGGTTGTCTAGTATTTATTGAGGCCCCACCATGTGCAGCCTGAAGGCTTACAATTCACTAGAGGAGTCAGGACAGTCCATGAAGCAGAGAAAACAGGTGAAAGTGACGCTAACTGCTGTGCAGCCCTGAGTGACAGCCATGTCCATGGCAGCAGAGAACCTACTCACGTAATTGTGTTCACTTCCCTCCTTCTCAAGCACATGCGTTCTCTCCCGTTCTACCTCTCTCCGGCCCAGCATCTAAGCCTGAGAGAACATTTCAATCCTAGTGAGGTCTGGGTGGATGGGGGCCTGTTTCTGCAGGAGCACTACTGTCTGGCCCTAGGGGAGGATGAATTGGCCCAGCTTCGACTCTTCTGTGCCCAGCGGAAGCAGAAATCCCTGGGACAGGGGGTGGCCCGCCTGCTACCTCCCAAGCTTGAAGGACACACCTGTGAGAAGGTAGGGAGTATGGCTCTCCCTTCTTTACCCCTGAGCCTTCCCCTTCTCTACCCTTTGCTCTTCTACTTCAGCAGAAAGGGTTTTGAGGAGTTTAGCAGGGAAATGTTTCAGGGTCAGTGTTGGGGAAGGGGGAGCCAGGTTTGAGGAGCTGACCTCTGCGGTGGAGGTGGGCCTGCAGCACAATCCCAGGAGTTAGATTGGGGCTGTGCTTGAAGATCCATGAGAGAACTAAACAGGTTCAAGTTCTCACCAGCCCAGTGCCCCTGCTTTGCCAGTGCAAGAAGCTGCTGAATCCAGGAGAGTATGGAGTGTTTGCAGCCAGGGCTGGTGAGCAGAGCTGCTGGCATAGAGCCTGTTTTGCTTGCCAGGCCTGTGGTCAGGCCCTGATAAACCTCATCTACTTTTACCACGATGGGCATCTCTACTGTGGCCGCCATCATGCAGAGCTGCTACGACCTCGATGTCCCGCTTGTGACCAGGTAGAGCAAAGGGGAGACACTAGAGGAATTCTTCCCCAGGGCCAGCAATGTAGGAACAGGGAACACCCTCCTAAGCTATAGGCTCTTCTAGTAGAAGTGGGGAAGAAGGTAGAGAGAACTAGGAAGCAGCCAAGGCCATTCTGTTGCCTGTTTTCAAGCCGTGTGGAACTTGCTGCCTTTATCTGTTTTCTCTCAGTGCAAGAAGATGTCCTTAAATTAGTTTGGACTCACAATGTTTCTGTGATTATCTTTTGGTTTTTGAGAAAGGGTTTCTCTGTGGCTTTGGAGGCTGTTCTGGAACTAGCTCCTGTAGATCAGGCTGGTCTCGAACTCACAGAGATCCACCTTCCTCTGCCTCCTAAGTGCTGGGACTAAAGGAGTGTGCCACCACTGCCCAGCTGTTTCTGGATTCTTGAATAGATATTTACCTCATCACTATGCTAGATGCTCCGTGCTGATCTTGACCATGCTAGAAAGACCCTGACATCAACATGAAAGAGTACTGAGCCTTGGAATGAGAGTCAGGGAAGCTCTGGGGTCCAACTTCTGGCTGTGCCACCTGCTCCGTGGAGGGAGGATCTGGCCAAAGCCAGTCACCCTCCCTGAATCCAAGAGTGACAAAGTGCTCCAAATCGGAATGCCTGTGGGCATTTTTTTTTTTTTAAAGCGTTAAAGTTAACGGGTATAAGGCGTGGTTACTGGATGGATGGATGGATGAATGAGTGAATGAATGAACGACTCAACCCTTTTCCTCAACCTCGCAGCTGATCTTCTCTCAGCGCTGCACCGAGGCCGAGGGACGGCGCTGGCACGAGAACCACTTTTGCTGCCAGGACTGCGCCGGGCCTCTAGGTGCAGGTCCTTATGCCCTGCCCGGGGGCAGCCCCTGCTGCCCCAGCTGCTTCGAGAACCGCTACCAGAGTGCAGGCTCTAACTCAGAAGAGGCACCGGAAGGGCATGCGTCCCTTGGTAAAGGAGGGGACTGTGCAGATCTAAAGGGGGAGGGGGCGGCGGCTTAGGCTGAGCATGGGGGAAGGGGAAATCTCCCGGTCCAGAACCCCTCGTCCCATCCCCATGCTGTCCTACCCGCTCCAGCAGCGCCCCGTCCTCCCACCGCAACCCCCAGACGCGAGCATCGGGGCCCGTAGCTCTCACCGCGCGTCCCTGGCCTGCGCGCTCCGAAGGCCTCCGGAACCCACCCGGCGGGGCTGCGGCGCCAGACTCGCTCCCGGGCGGGGGACGCGGTCGCCCACTGGTGGACGGAGGCGGGGGCCCCTAGGGGAAGACTCGCGGCAGCGGCGGCGCGCACGGCACAGCCTGGGGCGGGGCGGGGGGCCCCACCCAACCCTGGCCCGCCTCTTGCACAGGGATTTGGGGGCTGACACGGTCCTTTCTAACCGGTCTGGAACAGGGGGAACAGGCCCCGATCCAAGCGTCGGCTGGAACCGTGCCTGCTCGGATGACAAGATCATCTTCCGAGATGGGCTTTTCTCTACAGTCGCCAGCTCCACCCTGGGACCCCCGAGCCCAGCGTCCAAAGGGCAGGACCGAGACCGCCCACAGACGCCCGGAAACCCCAAAGAGGACAGCTTCTGCCCCACCTGCTCCTCTTCCTCCGAGTCGGAACCCGAAGGGTTTTTCTTCGGCCAGCGCCTTCCAGGTCCCTGGAAGACCCCCGAAAACCTCCAGGCAGATGACAGAGACATCTCCAGGAAGCACTGCACCATTTGTTAGTAGCGCGGCCCGGAGATCAAGGTGGTGAGATGCGGGACTTGTGAAGCAGGATAACAGCTGTTGTGCGTAAAAAGAGCCGAGACTCTAACAGGCAGTCAGGCACGCGGAGCAGTCCCATCCCACCACGCGCTCTCCAGCCTGAAGAAAACTTTCTTGGGGACTCAGCACTGCCCAGAGCTTGCTAGGTGAGCTAGCCCCTATCCCCACGGGATGGGCCAGCCCCAGTGTCAGCACCTTGCTTAAACTGCAGGCTTCAGGAGGTGGGGTAGCGAACAGGGCTCCACCTCCGACCTGGGTCCCTGAACTCGCGGATGCGGTCGGGGGCGGGCCTTCTGCCTCTCACTACCGGCCGGCGGAAGTGCGGAGTCGGAAATTGCGCCATCGGTCTGCGCCGACTCTCTGCGCGTTCGCCCCCAGTGCGGAGGTGCTCGGTGCTGCTATGGCTTCTAGCGGGGTGACGGTGAGCGCCTCGGGCGCGGCCAGCGAGGCCCCCGAAGTTCCAGACAACGTGGGAGACTGGCTCCGCGGTGTCTACCGCTTCGCCACGGATAGGAACGACTTCAGGAGGTAACGGAGGCTGGCCCCCCTGGCCTTAGTAAACTTGCATTTCCCTTCCTGGTGAGCCTGGCATTCCCAGAGATTTTACCACACTGACAACACAGTGGTCTCGTGGTGACTTTTTGTGTTTGTCGAGACCGTAGGGTCTTGCCGCCAAGCTTGAGGACATGGATTCGATTTCTGGGACTGCGGGTTATACTCTGACTTCCACACTTGCCTGTGTGAACATGCACGGTCGCACACATACACGCAAATTAATGAATGTAATCCTTTTAAGAAGTCGCCCTGACCTACGAGGCAGGGAAGAGGTGTCAACACATAAACGGGAGTTTTAGCCCTGGAAGAGTGCTAAGGTGGCCCTTGTTTGAGTTAGGAGTAGATGTAATCTTCAAATTCTCACGTGCATATCGGGCGACATACTGCTGTATCAGGTGTTCATCAACACCTCCAGAAGGTAGTGCTGAGGGGAAACTTCCCATGGTATGTCATTAGCTTCATGAGACTCTGACTTCAGGGCTAATGAAATATATTCTCTACCCAGGAACTTGATCCTCAATTTGGGACTGTTTGCTGCGGGAGTTTGGCTGGCCAGGAACTTAAGTGACATTGATTTGATGGCACCTCAGCCAGGGGTGTAGCCAAGTAAGCGCTTAACTTTGCCTGTTTCACAAGTCGTGAAAGATGATGGCAACAATATGTTGTCAGCTATTCACAGGGAGGAGGGAGACTTGGTGTAAATCCTCACCCTTAGGGTTTCTAGGTGAAAGCAATTTTCTTTTTTGTGTTTTCCCATTCCTAATACCACTTGTTATCTGGTTGCAGATAATGGAAATCCTGTTCACTCCAACTTCCCAAAGACAGCTTAATGTCTGTGACCACAAGACACTGCCCTATGGCAGCTGAAGTGGATTTCCTCTCCTTGCCTGAACCTCCACCCCTGGCCAGTCCCGAGCCTGGCTTAAATGTTACCGTTGCACAGTTCTGTGTGCACTTCCCAAGTTTCTGCAGAGGGTGATCTTTGCCCATGTCCTGAGGACTAGTAATGGTTCTTGAAAAATATTTCAAATAAAACCTGCACACAAAGACAGACGTTTTATTCTTTTAATAAGAAACTTCTTTCAAAACCAAGGTGTAAAAAGGTCAGTTTACAAAATCAAAAAACATTTCACACTCAAGAGACAGGAATGAGCCCCAAACATGGATTGTAATGGAGATATTTTGCCTCATTAAAAAAAAAAAGAGAGAGAGAAAGAAAAAAAGAAACTGGAAGGGAACCTCCTACTCCACAGAGATGCAGACATGCCACAAAGCTGATTGTTGAGGACTTTCTTCTATTGAGCAGTCCTGGGAGAAGAAGCCATTTGGTGTTTTTTGGCATTTTGGTTGACTAGGTGTGCTTTCCAGGCACCAGGGAGGACACTGTTGTTCGAGTCAGATTTGGTGGCAGAAGAGGGCACTGATGTGTGTGAGTAGAGGCAGACTCATTACTGGGCACAAGGGAGTAGCTTCCTCCCCCAAGATTCATGCTGATGCCACTTCCCAAGAAGGGAAGGCTCAAGAAGGGACAAGGCAGTGCTACAAATAGACTCTCCATAATTTCATTTAGTCAATTTACTGGGCATTTTAAAAAATACTGCTTTTATGTGCCAAGGCCCCCTTGGAACTGGTCTTGTTTGTTTTTTTCAAGACAGGGTTTCTCTGTATTGCTTTGGAGTCTATCCTGGAACTCGCTCTGTAGACCAGGCTGGCTTTGAACTCACAGAGATCTGCCTGCTGGGATTAAAGGCGTGAGCCACCAATGCTGAGCAGAACTGACCTTGGGCATGAGTAAGAAAGGGTCAAGGTAACTGAGCCACATCTGCATGGTTGACAGATGTTACCTCTAGCCTCTTTCCTACATCTGCTGGTATACATTTCATTCAGTCTATCTGGGGGGCCTAGGAGCATAGCTCACTGCAGAAAACTCATGAATTTGACCTCCAAACACACACCAAAAGAAAGGGGGCAGGGGAAGGCAACTGAAAAGGTTTTGTTTTTGTTTTTGAAACAGGGTATCTGTAGCCCAGGCTGGCCTCAAACTTAAGTACATAGTTGAAGATGGCCTTGAACTCCTTATCCTGCTGCCTTCGCCAACCAATTGTTAGGATTTTGTGTGGTGCTGGGATCAAACTCTGAGCCTTAGGCTTGCCAGGCAAGCACTTTACTGAGCTACATGCCTAACTATATATAGGGTAGGGATTACCATTTTCTTGTGAATGTTTATCAGGTAGAACCTGTGTGATGATGGCTAGGAGAAACTGAGTAAATTCAGACCTAGAATTAGCTTAACATAAATTAAGACCCTAGAATTTATTCTGAGTAACAGATACTCTGAAGTTTATTTTAGAGATCATTAAGAAACCTGAGCCAGCCGGGTGTTGGTGGCTCATGCCTTTAATCCCAGCACTTGGGAGGCAGAGGCAGGTGGATCTCTGTGAGTTCAAGGCCAGCCTGGTCTCCAGATCAAGTGCCAGGATAGGCTCCAAAGCTACACAGAGCAACTCTGTCTCGAAAAACAAAACAAAAACAACAACAACCAAAAAAAAACTCAAACAAAATAAACTAAGTAGTTTTATTTAATTAAAATTTCTATGTTGAAAAATAATCTAGAAAGAATTAAGATATGATAGCTTTTAAAAGTATAATTGAAATTTCATTCCAAATTTAAGGTGTAATTTCAAGTAACTTTACTGTTGCTTTTTGAAGCCATAATGCTGGCTTGGCAGTTTTATTTAAATTGGTTTAGTGGGTCTGGATGGAACCCAGGGCCCCAAGCATGCTAGCTAAGTGCTCAAGCACTAGTTGTATTTTAAGTGAAACATGCAAGCTGGGCATTGGTGGCACACACCTTAATCCCAGCACTCAGGAGGTAGAGACAGTCGGATCTCTGTGAGTTCAAGGCCAGCCTGGTCTCCAGAGTGAGTGCAAGGATAGGCTCCAAAGCTACACAGAGAAACCCTGTCTCGAAAAACCAAAATAAATAAATAAATAAATAAAACATGCCAGCATAAGTATGGACAGTTAACAAAAGTGACTACTTGCCTCGTAGCTACTAAGCTAGGGTGTATTTAGAGCCATGTGTGGGTTAACAAGTATGTAGTGTTAAAGTGTAGCCCTGGCCTGAGAGCAGACAGGAATGTGGAAGAGACAAGGCTCACGGTCTTGATAAGGTGTTTTAGCACTGACAAAAAGAGAACCACTGGAGAGACCCACACTTAGCTAATAAAAAACCAAGTGGCCCTGGAAAATTTCACCCTGAAGATACAACTTTTCACCTAACTGGTTCAGGAACTAGGCTGAGTGAACCCGGTTACTGAGTGTACTTTGAATGGTGACCTTGTCAACATCTTTGGGGAAGTCTCACAAGCTCAGCAGAAACCTTATGGTTGGAGTGAAAGAACCAGGCTGTGAACAGCTCTGACAACAGTCTTGAGTCTTGCAATCTCTCACAGCCACTTGGCACCATCCTGGTCGCATCTGCCCAGAAAGTCTTGAGGGTGGTGGTGACAGGGACATCATTTTTGCATCATTCATTCTGCATATTACAGTGTACTGGTTTGTCTTAACAATCTAAAGGTTCACATGTGGGAACTGTTTCCTACACTGCTTCCTGGTGGTTTGTGCAGGACTCCAGAACTGGTGAAGATTACACTGCCATTGATTGCCTAGCTTCAGTCATGGGTTTCATAAAGGCTTTTCTGGTCATTTGGCTCTCCTATCTAGCTAGAAACCCTTCCACACATAAGCTGCAACCAACTCCAAATAGGGGTGTGATAACACATTCAGGAAAGGATCACTTTCCAGAAAAGGCCAGCATTACTGTTTGGCATATACAAGAGGCAATGAACAGCAATGGTGTGTGTTGGCTGCCTTGAAAGACAGCCATTTGAGGGATGATTACAAATACAGTTATGGACATTGAAACTCTAGAACTCAATGCTGGTAAGAACAATTTGCATTCGTACACAAGAGATAAGAATGTTCTAAAAAATCTGATAGCACATATCCTTTGAACACTACAGATCCATCTGCCACTTGACACGACAAAAAGGAATCCTTTCTCTTAACTTTCAATCTCATGCAAAGTGTAATTAAGTACAAGGCACCAAATTTTATGAATTGTATAAAATTAGTTCACAAAGCTGTATCAGTAAAACAAATTTCAGATCTCCCCTGTCCCACCCCCACCCCCACCCCCAAGTCTTCATTCTGCACTACTTTTTAACCGATCAGCTTACTCTGGGACACTGCCAGCCAGTCCACCTCATTGGTTTTTCCCCTGAATGTAGATGGAGCTGAAGGCATAGCCAGAACAGGGGACTCATACAATCATGGACTCTAGAAGCCTTGCCATTGTGAACAAAAATAAACTCTGCTATTGAGTCCATAGGACACATGAACACTTCTACAGTTTCTAATTCATTCATGGCATTTTAGAGACATCTAGTTCTTTACCATGTGGCACTGCCCTCCCATTTCAGCCAGAGGGGCTGGTTAAAGAGCTCTGCCTGCCATTTGATAAGAGCTGCAGTTCCTGGCTGCCAAGGGTATTCCTGCTACGTTTGTACTAGCATGGGTGCTGCTATTAAGAGGCAACCACAAGCATGAGGGCCCGGCTAGACTGAGGTAAGAAATCGTTTTTGTTTTTTTGAGGGCTGGGGTATATTCATCTTGGCTGGCTACAGTGATAAGTAAACACACCAGCCAATTACAAAGGGCTCACAGAGAGATTGTGGCTGGGAGAGCAGCACCTGGCATTTGACCTGAAGCCAGCTACTCAAGGTCTATCTGTTCTTCTCTTTAGAATGTTTCAGTGTGATGTAACTGACACAGCCCCCCTCCCCCCCTTTGGCTGTGCAGACACCAGAGGCAGAGGGCAACACAGCACACAGTGCTTCTGCAACAGAGATCTCCTTAAGTACCAACTCCCTAACTCTCAAGCTGCTGCTTCTGGTGCCTGAGGTGATGTCTGTGGTTGCAGTGGCACCTTCATGAGGGGGGCTCCGTGGAGACAGCTGGTTTCAGTTGCAACTCATTTTAAGTGATTTTATTAATCTCATATGTGGGTGTTCAGGTCAGCTAAATATAAAGTCCCCAATACGCTTACCAGTCTTGCTGATAGTTGCTATAAAACCTTTTTTTTTAAAAAAAAAAAAAACAAAAAACAAAAAAACCCGAATTAGAGCCTTCTAATTTTCCTTTAAGTGTTTATATTGATTAATGTTTTCCCCTCTGGACAGACAAATGTATTCTCTGCCTGCAAGTTCTCTTTCTAGAACAAACTGCACAGGGTCTAAGATGAGATGCAATTCAGTCTTGTTTCCTTTTTACTCTCAATGGGTTGTTATTTTTGTTTTTCAGACAGGGTCTCACAATGTAGCCTCAAACTCATAATCCTCCTGCCTCAGCCTAGCAAGTGCTGGCCTTCCAGGGGTATACCTGGCTTTGTTTTTAGTGGGCTTTCCTACCATGGTAACACATCATCACTATCATGCACCTTGGTAATGTGGGCCTTGATGACCTCAGGGTACAGCTTTCCATCAGACCCACAGGCAGCATGGGCCACCAGACACTTTAAAACAGTGTCCTGGAGATGAGGCCATGCAAAGCTCACAGAAAGCCTGCAGCAGACAGTGAAAACCAAACAGCACAAAAATGCCATACATTGTTGCTTCCAAATAAAAGCTAAATACAGAAACCTCACAGTGTTGTATGTAAAAAAGCAAGTTTAAATCTAGCCACACCATCCCTGTCGGGGGAGCCATTTTCTGTCTGATTTCTTCCATGTCTACATCTCAAACGAGGGCAGCAATAAAGGCTGCAGGTGTGCCTCATCGTCCCTGCTTCCCACCCTATAACTCCCTTCCCTAGCCCCATCAATCGACAACTGTACTACATTAACATGAGCTACTTTTCATAGGAGACGCTGTGGTACTGCAAAGAGAATGAGGCTTTACTGTGCCTCTGTCTGGGCATTTGGATTCCAGTTAGAAACAGAACCAATTTTAAAGATGTGTTTTTACTAACAGAGTATGGCTCATGGACCTAGGGCAGGCTGCCAGAGCAACAGGTGAGAATAAGTAGCAGACTAAGAAGAGAACAGGCAAGGTCGTGAGAAAGAACGGGATACACGTTCACACTCTAGGGAAGCCAAAGTTCCCAAACCTTGTGACCCAATGTTGTAGGTGCAGAGAAGAAGCTGCACACCATACAAGGTGAGACCCTGGGGGCAGCAGGCATCGGGACAGTCCCCACTCACCTTCACTGAACTCTGAGACTGACCACTGACCCAATGACCAATCTGAACTAAACCATGTGCTGGCTCCAGCCTGAGCCAGCGTCCTACTACAGGACCGGGGACATGGGCAGACCAACCACGCACTGGTCTGTGCCTCCTCCTATGACTGCCTTTTCAAAAGGAAGGATGGAGGTGATAGCAGCAGCTCCGAAGAAGCCTGTCTCTGAAAGCCTCCCCTTTGGCATGGGGAAATCTGCTCTATGCCCCTCACTCCACTCTCCAACTTCTCTCTCCTAAAAAACGAAGCTTTGCAAGCTGTGACCCTTGGTGGTCACCTCTTTTGTGCAAACAAACACTGTGACTTCACCTTCCACTTTGGAACCAATCTTTTCCACCAGCTGCCAGCCTGGGGCCCTTCTCATGTGCTCTGTGCAGTGCTGCAGGGAGGTCCTGATAGCAGGGGCTCATGACAGAGAAGACAGACATGGCTGCTCTCCTAAATTCATGATCCCCCCTCCCACCCCCCACCCCCGCTCCCCATCCCTCTATTACCCAGAAGCAACTGACAAAAGAATCTTCATAGAAGTTACTCCTTTAGATTTGTTTTATGAAAGGAGGGAATTTCCAACAGTTTTCAAAAGAAAGTGACTACCAATTTTTGACAGGGCAGGAATCACCTGGCATTGTCTCCTCTAGGCCCAGTGAGGCAAACCCAGCAATTTGTTACTGTGGCAAGCCTTATTACCCAAGAGGAAAAATGTAAGGACATTTTGATGCATGCCTCCTAGTCAGGGGAATGTGTATGTTCTGCCTTCGTCCTTGCTGCTGGACTGCACCTGAGCTCGGAGTTGGGGTTCTGAGAGTCTTGCACTGCCCTGAACTGTTCTTCGAGTGTAAAAAAGGATGTAGGCCTGGGTTTTGCACACTTCCTCGACACTGCACACATCCAGCTTTGAGTCATTGCAGTGGACCCAAAAACCTAGGAAGCCAAAGGAGAAAAAGAGAAAATGATGACCTAGTTGACATTCCTAGACAAGTGCAGCCAGGAGATGGGGGAACAGAGCCACCTTCTGACCATTTGGAGGGAGGGATATGTGAATAACACCACGCTCCCCATAACCCCAGGCTTTCGCCCCACCAAACACCAAAAAGACTCTTGCCTACAGTATTGACTGACCAATTTTTGCCCTTGTTTCCTTTATGCCTTTTTAATGTCTACTAAAGCTTTCGGAGACAGCCAGCATAATTTGGACTAAGCAGAGGAAGAGGGGAAGAGAACTGGAGTACAGAGGAGTGACGGCAGCACTTGTTTGTATTCCAACCCATATTTATAGCACAGCAGCTGGAGACTGCCCCAGGGTAGGGCTGGGGCTCCTTTGGAGGGCCCTTGATACCCACACTCCTCACAGTAAGGGGTGAATGAGGACACAGAAAGTGCCCCAATGTCCTTAGAGTTATTTGAGTGAGGCTAAAGATTTATAACATATAGCCACAAAGTTACAAAGGCCCTGCTATTTCTGCATGACCAAGAAGGAAGCTAAGGAAGCAGAATTATCATCACCATCGCCATAGCAATCCCACTGATAATTAGTACTACTGATGACACTGTGCTGACGCTAACCTCCAGCACTGGGTCATCCTACCATAACCTTACATCCTTACCAAACCCCAATTTCAGAATGCATCTCACTGAATTCTAATGTATTTAATTTGTCCCTAGCTGACTCAGGGGGATGGAAATAATGAAAAGCAATAAAATGTGAACAAACCAACCCTTTTCCATGTCCCCGCCCCCACAGAGTAAAGCGCACGCACCTCCCTCTGTGTTGTAGCAATAGGCTGTGTAGTGTCCTGAGCCAAACCCTTTCCCGTGATGCATGACCACTGCGGAGAGATCATAGGCAAAGGTCTCTTTGTCAAGAGAGGAGAGCATGTCCCTGCAGCAGTAAGGTTCCATGGTTAATACCTGGTCAAAGACGACATGGACCCCAATCTTCTCTCGGTGATTACGGCCAGACCACCTAGGAGATGGGAATGAATTTTTTTTATTCATTCAGACTGGTGTAAGCTAGTTAAAGAGAGCTAAGAAAATAGCTTTTGTTTTTGCTTTTGCCCCCTGCTAATCAAAATCTACATGTATATCAGCTGTGAAAACTCTATGGCGTATTTGAACCTACAAACCCTTAAAGAAACAGCTCAGGCTGGGCGGTGGTGGTGCATGCTTTCAGTCCCAGCACTTGGGAGGCAGAGGCAGATGGATCTCTGTGAGTTCGAGACCAGCCTGGTCTACAAGAGCTAGTTCCAGGACAGCCTCCAAAGCCACAGAGAAACCCTGTCTTGAAAAAC